ATCATAGGTGTAAGCATCACAACAGATGCCACCGTGTCAAAGTAAAACAGAGGATTGAACACAGAAAAATATAAAGGATTTTTTTCCTGGCCTAATTTCTTTTTTGTTTTTTAGCATATATCCCAAACTCTTCTATTGTGAGTTTTCTCAGTTTCAAACTGAGGTGATATTTGCAGTTCAGCTGCCTCATGGTCTGTGTGCAGCCCGACTCCACCACACCTGCCTATAGTCCCTACCTGTGCACTGTGCATCTCTCTCAAACTGAGGGAGGGTGTTGGAGGGCTGGCAACACGGAGCACCTGTCCCACCTTCATTCGTGGACACTCCCGGCAGATGCCTCTGCCATGGCCTGAAAACCTTTTGGGAAGGCCTGGGGGTCCTCCCCCTTGTCTGATGGAGCCAGAGAAGCATCACCACTTGGGCTAAGGAGGAGTGGTGACAGCAGTGGCGAGGAGCCAGCCTGAGCAACCAGATGTTTGAGCTCCCTTTTCTTTTTTTTTGCCTGTCCTGTCCGTCAGTGTAGCCATCAGGATTGCTGCCTGTGACCAAACAAAATGGACATCAGATTAATTTTCCCAAGTGCACCATTACTTTTGCTATACTGGTCCACTTGATAATCATATTTTATTAGATCTTTATTAGGAGTGACCTTGTCTGGTGCTCGGACTGGACATGCTCCTGATAATAATAATAATAATGGATTGGATTTACATAGCGCTTTTCTAGACACTCAAAGCGCTTTACAATTCCACTATTCATTCACTCTCACATCCACACACTGGTGGAGGCAGCTACAGTTGTAGCCACAGCTGCCCTGGGGCAGACTGACAGAAACCCCTCTGGCCAACACCAGTAGGCGGTAGGTGAAGTGTCTTGCCCAAGGACACAACGACCAAGACAGAGAGAGCAGGGGATCGAACAGGCAACCTTCCGGTTACAAGACGAGCTTCCCAACCCTCTGAACCACAGTCGCCCCCTGATGCATAGCCACCAGGTCATCCGCCATCTGGGATCTGTCACAACATGACTGGGTTTTGGCACCACTTTAGCAAGGACCCAGACTGACAGTTTTTCCAGCATGTGACTGTTTTTATGTGTGCAAACCAGTGTGTATCACATTTGTTGGCAGGCTTTTCAGTCCCACTCTCTCCAGCTCAATGCTCCTCCCCTTGGGCAGCTTTCTTGATGTTAAACAGACAGAAGGTCACACAACATGAGGGAGGAAGCAACAATGAAAAGAGGGAGATGCAGACAATATGTCCACAGAAGGATATCGAGGCAGCATCTGGGACCTGTGAACAGATACAGGCATGTTCAAGACCCTTGTGATGGGGAAGAGACCAGGCAGCTCATTGTCCTGTAAAATATACGAGAGCCAACACAAACTCAGGGTGGCATTTCAGTCTGATGAGATGTACAGGACCAGGTCCAGCAGTGCAAGCGGTGCAGACTGGCTAAAGATATTCCCCAGTAACAGGGTCCCAGTGACATGTAGCAATCTTATAGTGCCCCTGGAGATCATTGCAATAAGATGCTGCATAGGTCCTGTTGGGATATGTTGCGGGTTGAAATATTGAGGGTGAGCACAAAAACAACAATGGTCCAGGAGAGTCGGTCAAACAATGATTTTTAATGAACACACGAGTGGGGAGATGAACACTGCACACAGACAGCATCAATCTCCGCCCAATGATACACAAGCGGTGTTTTTATAACATCAGGGTATTATTTATGACGCCCCCTCGTGCGTCAAAGCAGATACAATACAATAAATGTTGACAACTTTTGACACATTTAAAAGGACATCATCTCCGTCTCGAGGCCAGGTGCTATTAATCTTCTGACTCTCACTTATCTCCTGGAACAAACTGTCCCTTAGGCAGACACAATTTTGCAGTCACAAGCTTTTGCAACTATTATTTGAACTCTTACCTAAACATGAGTCTAACTACTGTTTGTGTGTGTGTGTGTCTCGACCTCCAACGCACTCGGCCTCACCCCGCCCGTTGACGCTTCTGGCCTTTTACCAGACAGAAGCTCTCTGTGATAGGTGTAATAATCTTAACTAAGAACGTGTGTAATCTATTGAATAAATGCTTTGATGAAATGATAATGAATGTAATGGTAATGATGATGGTTATGAATAGTAGCAGTAAAATATTTCCCTGATCTCCACAGATATAAAAATATTATTGTCCTCACAGACATGTTCACCAGGTTCACTATTGCTGTCCACACTATAACCAGACAGCCAAGATGACGGCAAATTTAATTTATTTATATATTCAATTCACTTTTATTTATATAGCACTAAGCCACAACAACAGTTGTCAAGGTGCTTTATAGTGGAAAGTAAAGACCCTATAATAATACAAGGAAAACAGAAAACTCCAACAATCATATGACCCCCTATGAGCAGCACTTTGGCGACGGTGGGAAGGAAAAACTCCCTTTTAACAGGAAGAAACCTCTAGTAAAGCCAGGCTCAGAGAGGGGCGGGGCCATCTGCCGTGACTGGTTGGAGTGAGGGGAGGAAGACATGTAGTGGAAGAGAATATAATAATAATATATATAATAATTAATGATTATACTGTGTGTATAAACACATATTACATGAAAACGTTTAGTGAAAAAGAAACACTGGGACGCCCCAGCAGCCTAGACCTATTGTAGTGTAACTAGGGGAGGATTCAGGGTCACTTGGTCCAAACAACTGTGCAGTCTGTGTCAGTTTCAGTTCCAACTTTATTTCTTTAGCCCATTTAAAAGACCCAGGTAGATCAAACTGCTTCACAGATGAGCCACATTTGCGGGGTTACAACAATAAAGGAGAATAAATACAGTTATCATTACAGATGGTGGCGTGGCAACAAGTGTGAACCGGGGAAAGTTAAAATCTAATTTGTTTGGAAGGCTAGCTTAAACAGGTGGGTTGTTTAACGTGATTTGAAGGATTGAATGAATTCCGACGCACAGACATCAATCGGCTGTTCCAAAGTTGTCAGACTACATCTGTACTGGTGGCCTGTTTGTGCATCTTGGTTGCCTTGTTTGCAGTTGCAAAGCACAACCTGAGCTGGTCCCTATGTATGCTGGGCCCCCCTCTCTGGTTTGACCATGAATGCAGGAATGTCTGGGTGGTTCTGCTTCACTATTAATTCAATTCAATGTTATTTACACAGCACCAAATCACAACAACAGTCACCTCAAGGCGCTTTATATTGTACAGTAG